CCTTTCCAGCTCAGGAGGCAAAGCAGAGCAAGTGCCCCCGTAGATCACAGGTTCACCCCATGGATTTCCGACGAGATGCCAGCTCCTAGGTGGCAAAATCGACACCAAAAAATGCTTGCAAGTTGCTAGACCACACAGAGGTTTTATGTGATGTTTTGATTTGTTCAGATTTGCTCTTGCTGGTGAGGCAGGGGTGGCCCTGAGATAAAAGAAAGGACTCACCAATAGCCTGTTGTAAGTGACATAATGCTTTTAGGGAAGACTTTCCTCCTCTTCTTTTCTTTTTTCTTTTTTTTTTTTTTTTCAATTTTGTTTCCATCCCTGTGAAGAATATAACAAAGGATGGCATGTCCTCAGAGCACACTGATGTGTCACTGTGGATGCCAATCCCCACAGACGCTCCTGATGTTATTAATTTTTAAAACAAACTTGCTGATTGAGGTTCTGACTGCCTTTAAATTGTCTCTACAAGGAGACTGTGTACTAATTAACCCACAGAAACAATCAATGATGTACCTTTTTCAAGTTTCAGGGTGATTAGAATATGAAAATGAAGAGCACAATGGTGCAGATGTTTTAAAATCACAGCAGACAGCAATTAGTGACATGGGAACCAGCTGCTTATCTCTCCAGATAAAGCCTCTTAATAGGGAATTACACTTGAGGAGCCATTACACAGATGGATCTGCGAATGATTTAAAGAGGGGGCGTTGTAGTATTAACTTTGATTTGCAAGCCAGATTCTTGACAAGCTTTATGTGTGTTACCTCCTAAAAAAGGTGCATTTGGAGTAGGAGGGAAACATCCCTTTAAGCATACAGATTCTTTTTTTCAGGTGTTGGGTTTTCTAAATGTATATTTTATCATATTTTTTTATCTTATTTTTTTTAATTTGGATTTTTTTTTTATAATCATTATTGTTATATTACCAGACCATTGATTTTGTTGTTGTCATCTGCCCCCAGTCTTTGCATTTGGATTGGAAGCAGCATGTGAGAATGAGTGTGCAGACTGAAGCATCCTCAAAGAGTCCCTGGGGGATGGATTCTGCTGCTGGGTACTCCCTGCAGAGCAGGGTGCTGCCCCTCCTGGGACTGGTTCAGCATCACCTCCTCAGCTGCAAGGGCTGCATACCAGAATAAAACTGTTTTGAGGACTAATCACATCTGTAAGTGCAGGGCTGCACAGGACTGGAGGGACAGCATAAAACACACAGCATAAAACCTCTTCTCTGTGGACAGTGATCACCAGTGAATGGGATCTGTCCTACTCTCAGGTCTGCCCACCACTGCCCAAGCTGAGGCCTGAAACTCACCAGTTTTTCATTCAAATCTTATTCCACTAATAAGAGGATGCTAATCTGATTCTACTAATAAGAGGATTGTAGTCTTATTCTTATAGTCTAAGGTTTAGACATGTGCTGGATCAGGTTGCTCAAGCCTTTCTGCAGTTACAAAAGCTATCATCTTCTTTTTGTTGTATTTTGTTTTCTTTAAAGGAAAGTTGGGATTATTTGACCTACTAAAAACATCCAGTAAACTGTATATGAAGGGAAATATTGACCAAGTATGCTGAGTTGTAGTAAAATTACATTAGTTAATTTACACTTCTCCTTCCCCAGAAGAAGAAGGAGCAGACTCTCAGTGCAGAAAAGTTGGCTGTGGAAGAAAATCCCATTTAATGAAAGGGCAAATGATAAGCAGAGGCCAGCACTGAAGTTTGAAGCATTTTTAGGGTCTCATAAACGAAAAAGTAAATAAAGATAAATCCTTCTGTTTTCATGAAAAAAAGCCCCCTATTCTTGATGCTGTTCTCAGCTGGCTGCCACAGGAACTCTGAGCCAACAAGCCCCATGGAGCTGGAGTATATTACATACTTACTGACAAATAAAGTAAAGAATTTGGGTGAAAGGTATCAAGATATCAGTTTCTTAAGATTCCCTTACCATCCTGACAGGTCTGACATCTCTGTCATCTTAGCAGAGTCTTGGCTTGGCTGAGCTAGGCCTTGTTGGCTTTTTGAGATGGTGCTCACACAGCAGGGAGAATTGAGGCCTAAGCATTAGGACCAACAGAATCAAACAGCAACCCAGATGGATATATGGGGAATAAAATACACTTGACCACATTACTTTCAACTGATTTAGTAGTGCTTTTAGGTAAACAGTCCCCACATATCCATTTCAGCCCCTGAAACCCCACCTGCTGCAGCAAAACTGTCTCTAGTCACTGTGCTGCAGAGGAATTATTTTTGGGTGGTGTGGATGTGTCTGGCAAGGCAGAGCAAATAAACGTTTCGCTGGAAGAAGTTTCATGAGGAAACCCAGCAGACTGTGATGTGCTTGGGCAGATATATAGTTCTGACATCTTGCTTAGGAAATGGAGTCCCCTGATCCTGCAGACCGGTCATTTTTTGAAGGCCTGTTGAAATTGGAGTGCTTATCTGCGTGATTAAATGCCTCCAGAGCTGGCACCTTTGATGACATAGGCATATCTTCCTCATGAATTTTAAGATCGATGTGATGGTGGCCTGTGCTGCTGGAGCAATGACAGGGCAATCATTGGGGGTGTGCTGGGAGTTGCATCATCACTGTGTAATGTACAGGCCAAAGAAATGGGGCTGGAGGAGCCAAGCCCATATATCAACATTCATCACTGATCTATAGCTGGTCTCTCCATTCTGAGCCCTTATTAACTGCCTTAAAATACAGATCAGAGATTATTGCTCCTTCTAGGCCATGGATCTCCATGTCTGTGATAGATATGGAGGGAATAGGATGTTGCCAGAGTGCGATGTTTTTTTTTGTTCCCTGCTGTAACCTTCCTTCTTATTTTTATCTCTTCTTTTTTTTCTCTTCCAAATGAAATCTTTCAGGTCATTTAGTTTCACGGCTCAGCACTTGGAAGTAACGTGGGTGTAAGAAGCTGACTTGGCTGCAGGGCTCTGTTCAGGAACAGCCTGGCCCTGCCTCCGTGTGGGTGCTGGGGCCCAGGAGGGGCCTCAGCCCAGCATTTCCAGGGCTTCTTTCCATCACAAGTTGTGGTACCTTGGGGAGATGAAGTTTTATGTGAGGCTGGAGTGAAGCACAGCCATATCCCCCTGGGACATCACCAGGGCATGGCCTGCCCACCTCCTTGTGCCAGGACTAGTGGGAGAAGCCCAAGTGGCCCAAGCAAAATGGGTCTCAGGAGCTCTGGGATCAGTTTAAAATAATTAAAATAAAACAAGCTGTAAAACTCCAGTGCTGGTGCTGCTGGTTTCCCCACCCTGGACCCATCTCAAGATATGGAAGTGGATGGGCTCCCTGTTCTGAAGGAGGGCATCAGTGTGGGTTGTGTCCTCTGTGTGCTGCAGGGCTCATGTGTGGGAGGCCACTGTGAGGAAGAGGAGGAGAAGGATTCATTCCCCAAGGGCTGTTTATGCTTTCAGCTCTTTTCTCAGGCTGAGGAAACCGGGTGTCGCTCACCCACGACATCTGCAGCTCCACCACAGCTGCATGCTTTCGTTCTCTCACTCCACAATTCCTGGAAATCTCTGTTTTCCCTGAGCATGGCTGGTCCATGTGTGTGACAGCTGAACTATCCACAGGATTTAAGACTCCCTGATTGCTGCTCAGACAATGGACCAGAACAACTTCATCATTATTGCCTATTCCAGAAAAGCCACATGTCTATATTTATATGGGCATGAAAGATAGCTCAGCATCAATTTGTCAATAATGTGCATGTTTAGTGGCCACTAAATAATGTGCCAGGGGCTTGGGGCTGTCTTTTCAAACTTCTCTGAAGTTGCTCAGAACTAGGGATGCCTAATTTTCCCAGCTCAGAGGCCTCTTATTCCCTTTTGCCTGCTTGCCCCAAAATTTGTGTTGCAAACACCCCAAAGGGGGATCTAATGGGCAACTGAGAGAAGCTTAATTGTAACAGGGTGTTTGTAGGAACACAAGACACACTGTATTTATTATCTACTTTTCTTTCCTTGGTTTTGTTTTTATTTTCAGTCTCAACATTTATTTGACATTCCCAACAGTGTCAGTAGTTTGTGCAAAAGAAGTTGTATGGTCTGACCCAGAGTTTTACAAAATAAAGCTGCAAAGTCAAGAAAAAACCCCAAAACAGATCAACCAAAGAAAGTAAAAAACAAATAGATAGATACTTTTTCTTTAAAAGGAAAAAGTTACAGCTGAAGTAAACAATTTTCTTTTTTTTTTAGCTGGAGGCCCACCAAGAGAAAAACAGTAGAGTTTCTTTTGCTCTGTAAGAGTCTTCAGCATAATTCTGCCCTTGCTGTAACCTCTGTGGCTTGAAGAGCTCCTGTCAGAGTAGAAATCATGTTGAAAATATCTCTCACCAACATTGCAAACAGCAGAGTTTTAAAATGGAAAGGGAGTAATGCAAATCTTGAACCTGCCAAGTGCGCCTCACACACTTGACGCTATGCATATGATTTTAAGCACTAAGTATGCGGGGATGGCTTCCATGTGGAAATTCAACTAAATCTTTGCAGAATCTGTCTTCTCAGGGAAGTGGACCCATGGGTTTTCCTCTTGTTTGTTACAACTTCCAAGATAATTTTGCAGTTTTCTTGTTTACAATAATGAGTTTAATTGCTGCTGTTGAGCCTCAAGTTCTGTGAGTGATTATTTTTCAGGAAAAAGGCATTCTCACCAGGAGGTTGAGTTGCACCATTCATCCATTGAAAGGGGATATTTCACTTGTGTTTTAAATTAAAAATCAATAGACTATGTTCCCTTAGTAATTTTGCATTTATAGAAATAGTTCCACTGTTTTTAGAGTAGGGAAACCAAACAAAACTTGTTTACTGTGCATGAAATCTAAATGCAAATTTGGCTCAAGTATAGGAAGATTTTATAAAGGTTTCTAACTCTTACAAAGTCATTGTTGTTATTCACTGCATAAATAAAGAGCTGCAACCAGTGGTTATGAATGGGCTGCTAAACTAATTTTATTTTTTCCTGTTTATTTTCTGCTCCCTTCCAGGTTTATGACAGGCCACAAAAACATTCTGCTCTGCACTATGATCCGGGCCTCCAACAAGACTTCACCAGTGACACCTTAAAATCAAAACACCAGCAGAAAAGTAGCAACCAGCACCACCTTGACTGGTCAGCGAGCTCCGACACTGGACCCGCTTCTCAGAGCTGCTTCATCAACACAGAGCCCAGCAGAGAAGCAATTAGTGCCACCAAGGTCTCTGCTCTGGAGCCAGGAGTTTCCTACAGCAAATCCCAGGCCAAGAAGTCCTGCAGCAGCAGCAGCAGCAGCAGCAGCAGCTCGTGGGGGCAGCTGTCAGTCAGTAGTAAGGAGCTGGCAATTTGCAGCACAGTCCCATCACCCAACAGCATCAGCACGGCCACCCAGCCCAGCAGTGCCTCCGAGTGCAATGGGCTTTTGTCTCTTGGAGACCAAGAGGGAGCTGTGCAGCTGGAGGCCCCCGATCAGCCCGCTGGAAGTACGAAGAAGAAGTCCAGCAAGAAGGACTTGATGAGCCAAACCATGCAAACCACAGATATGGAGTGGGTAAAGAGTGCTCAGAAAGCGTTTGACAGCAAATCCCATGACAGCATGGAAGGGAAAAAGGAGTCTTACACGATGGACAGCATGTTGGATATGTCACCCTCAAAGCAGAATCCCGTTTCTGCCGTCACTTGTGAAAGTGACACCAATCACGTACGAATTACTATCCCAATAAAGTCTCCGACAACAGATGCGTCTGGCCACAAAAGGAAAAAGAGGCAATCCATTAAATCCTCCATAGAGAAAACTATCCAGGAGAAAAGCCTGCCTTCCGTGCTTGCTTTGAGCAGTGAAATGGCAAACAGGACCAGCTCTCAACCAGACGGGAGTAAAAAAGACCTTCGAGCCACAAAGCCAGGGAAAGTGATTGAAAATGAGTCCCCCTTAGTAGCAATTGACAGCGGTGTGTTCACAGACAAAGCATCCCCCAACAGTGCTGCCCGACCCAGAAAACCTTTACCTGTCACATCCACTCTCCTCCCCACCAATCTTTCCACAGCTGGCAAGTTACCGGACATCCAGCACCCCAAACATGCAGCTAAGCGTCGGTGGACCTGCAGCAAACCTAAACCTATTATTCGGGAGACCTCCCTGACGACATCTGAGAAGCTGATGGTGGAGCCTCCTTCAGCCTATCCCATCACACCATCCAGCCCTCTGTACACCAACACAGACAGTCTTACTGTGATCACACCTGTCAAGAAAAAAAGAGGACGACCAAAGAAACAGCCTTTGCTCACTGTTGAAACCATCCACGAGGGGACCTCCACCAGCCCAGTGAGCCCAATCAATCGTGAATTTCCAGGAACAAAGAAAAGGAAGAGGAGAAGGAATCTGGCTAAGTTTGCCCAGATGGTTCCAGGAGAGGACAAATCCATCAGTGAACTCAAATTTCACAAAAAAGTCGGGAAACTTGGGGTCTTGGATAAGAAGACCATCAAGACCATTAATAAAATGAAAACCCTCAAGAGGAAGAATATTCTCAATCAGATCTTGTCCTCCTGCTCCAGCAGCATAGCTCTGAAAGCAAAAGTCCAGCCACCATCTAGTGCTGGGCCGACCACCATTGATGCCAGGCTAGGGAAGCAGATCAATGTCAGCAAGAGGGGGACTATCTACATTGGTAAAAAACGGGGCAGAAAGCCAAGGGCAGAGCTGCAGGCTCAGCCAGAAGAACCTAAGACAGCCATCAAGCACTCAAGGCCTGTTTCCAGCCAGCCAGAAAACCCAGCAGTGCCTTCCAACCTGCAGTCACTTGTGGCATCGTCACCAGCAGCTATTCATCCGCTTTCAACACAATTAGTGGGGATCAACGGCAACCTCAGCCCTGCAAGCACTGAAACTAATTTTTCAGAGTTAAAAACTATGCCAAATCTTCAACCTATCAGTGCTCTTCCTACAAAAACCCAGAAAGGAATGCACAGTGGAACTTGGAAGCTGTCTCCGCCCAGGCTAATGGCTAATTCTCCTTCTCACCTCTGTGAAATAGGTTCTCTGAAAGAAGTCACGCTGTCGCCAGTGAGCGAGTCTCACAGCGAGGAGACCATCCCGAGCGACAGTGGGATAGGTACAGACAACAACAGTACCTCTGACCAAGCCGAGAAAAGCTCAGAATCCCGCCGGAGATACTCTTTTGATTTCTGCACCCTGGACAATCCAGAGGCTATCCCATCTGACACCAGCACAAAGAACAGGCATGGTCACCGGCAGAAGCATCTCATTGTGGATAACTTTCTCTCTCACGAAAGTATTAAAAAGCCAAAGCACAAGAGGAAAAGGAAAAGCCTGCAGAACAGAGATGACCTCCAGTTTCTGGCAGACCTTGAGGAACTCATCAATAAGTTTCAAGTGTTCAGGATTTCCCATAGAAGTTATACATTTTATCATGAAAATCCATATCCCAGCATCTTCAGGATTAATTTTGATCACTACTACCCTGTGCCATATATCCAGTATGACCCATTGCTCTATCTTCGCAGGACCTCTGATATGAAGTCTAAGAAGAAGCGTGGTAGACCTGCCAAAACCAATGACACCATGACAAAGGTGCCTTTTTTACAAGGGTTCGGTTACCCTATTCCCAGTGGGAGTTACTATGCACCCTATGGAATGCCTTACACATCAATGCCTATGATGAATCTTGGTTACTACGGTCAGTACCCAGCTCCTTTGTACCTGTCTCACACGCTTGGAGCGGCTTCCCCATTTATGAGACCTACCGTGCCCCCACCCCAATTCCATGCAAGCTCTCACATGAAGATGTCCACCACTGCCAAACACAAAGCAAAACACGGAGTGCACCTGCAAACCCCTGTGGGAATGGGCCTTGGAGACATGCAGTCCTCCCTGGCCCCTCCGAAGGTTGGAGGAACAAGTCTTTCAAGTGGCCGACTTCACAAGAGGAAACACAAACACAAGCACAAGCATAAGGACGAGCGGATACTGGGGACTCACGAGGATCTGAGCGGTCTCTTTGCTAGCAAGTCCACTGGCTTCTCCAGCCACGCCATCAACGAGAGGCTGAGTGGCTCAGACAAAGACCTGTCCTTGCTCAACGAGAAGAGCAAGCACAAGGAGAAGCAGAAGCACCAGCATTGTGAAACCGGGCACAAAGGCTCAAAGAGTAACTTTGAAGTGGATACGCTGTCTACGCTATCACTTTCTGATGCCCAGCAGTGGTCACAGAATAAAGATAAAAGCGACTCAAGCGGTGATCCCATTGACTCTTGCACAAAGAGATACTCTGGTAATACTGAGAGTAATGGAAGGTCAGAGTCCCTGGACATGTTTGGTGAAATAAATTCCTCAAGTGAGAAGCGGGACAATGATGCAAGTGGGAATAAAAGAAGAAGCTTTGAAGGCTTTGGAACTTACAGGGAAAAGGACATTCAGCCCTTCAAGACAAATAGGAAGGACAGAAGTACTTTTGATTCTTCAGCCTCTTCAGGTAAGCTTTGTTTTATTCTATTTTACTTTGACTATTTGCTGCACTTGAATTTCAATGCTGAACAAAGAGGGACTCACCATTTACAGCAAATGCATTTACAAGATAATGACTTTTCTGTCTTTTGTAACTGACTGTCATTCTTCATTCAAACTTAGGGGAGATCAACAAGAAAGTTGGACACATCTTAAGCCCAAAGTTTTACAAGTGTTTGAGTTGTTACACAGCACTTTTATAGATACTTGTCCTGCCTTGACTTATCTCTCTTGTTGCACTTCTTCCTAAAATCTTACCATTGCATTCTGCAACAGCAGCAGTTGTAATTCCTGTTTGCAAGGTGGTCATCGCTCGAATCAGTGTCTAACATCACAAGATCAAAGTCACTGTCCAGCATTTGGGAAAAGAGCAGAGTCTCTGCTCTGGCCCTTAAAGTGACCAAAACCCATTTGTTGATGGGGTGGACCAGACAGGTGGGAAGGTGTGAAGCTGTGTTTGTGTCCCATTAATGTGTTCTACTGCTGGTCCAGAGGCATCCACCATAGTGATGGCTGGGCTGAATAGTTAGAGATCCTGAGTACAGTCCTAATGTAAATCTGTCACTTCCAGTCCACAGGTGTCATGTAAAATAAATATCCTGAGCATTGAGGGCTGTGGGAAGGGACTGGTGTCATGGAAACAAACCCTCTCCAATGGACTCTGAAGAGTTTTAGGTCTCATGACTTGGAAATATAAGCTGGGTGGATGAAGAGGGAGGAAGCTCCTTTCAGCTGCTAAGGACATCTGTTCCTCTCCTGCAGAGTGGGGAAAAAGGGAATCTGAATCTTGCCTGAGAGAGTGAATTGTATTTTACAATAGGGAGCTGCTTTTGTGATGACACAGAGGCAGGTGTTTTGGTGCATTACAAATGAATTTAGCTTGGGAGCAAGCCCAGTGCTTCCACACCATCAGATATTTATCACAAAGCAGATTTCACACTTAGCTCTGGAAAGGGGTGAGCTTTTCTGAACCAACCAGTGGTGGATGAGATTCTGATGTGCTAAAAAAAGAGCTTCAAAGAAAAGTAGCTGATAGCCTTCAAAATTAAAAGAAAATTAACTGAGAACACAGGAGTAGAGAATTTGTACAACTTGCCAATGTCAGGATACAAAGTTTTTTACTGACTTGTAACTGATCAAGTTCCAAAGACAGATCATGCTATCATGCTTAAGCCACCTAAACATTTCCAATTCCTTCACCACGACCAGAATATGAAATACAGGAGTGAAAAATGGTTTGAAATGACAGATTACCCCCAGAAAACATTTCCATTCATGATATCATATTATATTAGACCAGTTGTGACATCAAAAAATGATACATCCAAAAATATAGGAAAAGAGATTTAAATAAGTCTCTGAACATCAGAGTTGCAACATGCCTGACAAGGAACAAAGTTATTCTCCACCAAGTGCTGCAGTGGCTATTTCATAAAGGAAGCTGGGTTCTGGCACATAGGATTAAAAGCCTTCAAAGTGTTTAACAAGCTTTTTTTGCTTTTTTTTCTTTTTAATGGAAGTTCACATTTTTCACAGTTTGTTAGCAGCCTTTGCATTTGTAGCCTTTTTGCTCTTTGAACAGAAGATGTTTGCTAAATCTGCTAAATTTTCAGTATATTTCACTAAGGCATAGCAAACTGTCAAAATTCCCAACAGTGTTGAACTCAAATTAGTTTCCAAAGTAGGAGCATGATCCTCACCAGGCTGATTTGAAGATGGAATTAGTAAAGAAAAAGTCGATTTCATGTTATTTTCCTTCAGTTTATTCCCCATGACAAAGGGGAATAAAGGTATAAGATGGAGGGCTAGAACTTGTCATGGGAGGGCCATAAGATTTGCAGTTTAAATCTTTTAAACTAGCTCTTGTTTAAACTGAAATTGGTATTTTTATTTATTTTTTGGTCTTCATGCTTACAGCCGCACAGCATTCCCCATGACCTAATCCATCACCTCTCAGATTATTAATCAATTTCTTCATTGTCATGCTATTATTTAGATGGAAAAATCATCAGCAGTTAGCTAAGCAGAGCCAGATAACCAGAGCCATACCTTGCACTACAAGGAAAAATACTAAAACTAAACAGCTCTGCCAAGAAAGGCCTGGAGCCAAGACTGCTCATTAAAGCCTAGAAACATCTGTCTGCTTATGAATGCCCAAGATCTCAGAGCAGCTTTTTTCCTCTCTGCCTTTGACCTTCACTGGGATTCCCAGCAGAGGTCTGCACTTGAGTCTAGCCATAACTATTTAACCAGTTCCCACAGAGGGAGGATTGCTCTCTTCCATGATAACCTTCACCTTCCTGCCCCCAACTCACCTTGCATTTCCCTGAGGAGATTGACTAATCAGACAAATATAAGGAAGAAGAAAGAAAAAAAAAGCCCTATGAGGACGTATATGTCCATCCCAGGAGGCAACTTCCATAGCCTGATTGCTCTTTCCTTTCAGTATTTGTCATCTTTCACAAGTTAAAAATAATACATAACAGAGATAAGAGGAGACATCCTGAATATTCTGATGAAAGCTGAAAATAGATTTATATCACAATTTCAGTGTTATCTCTACTGCAGTGGCATTTTGGTGTGTTCAGTGGTGCCATTTGCAACTTCATTGCATTCTTCTGGAGATAAAACATGTAGCAAAATCTACCCACACTCAGTGGATATATCTGTGATGAGAGGGATGAGAGAACCATTTATGGTTTTTTGGTGATTCAGGCACTGTAATTTGTTTCAGTGTGGTGTGCAGCTGCAGGTACCATTGTGTTGTTGTTAATTTATGTTTTTGTCTCCCTTGTGACAGTGCTTAGCCATTTCTGAGAAGTTTGGTGTTCCTTGGTGATAAATAGGGGTCCTGCTTATGGTAGAAAACAGTCCCGTTGTACAATGTTTAAGCCTAGGTATGATTTTACTATCTAGCAAGAAATAGGCCATAAAGGGAAGTGATGTCCTTCCTATCTGTGGGAGAAGCTGGCTCAAGAGAGGTGGCCTGGCACAGGTTTCCCTGAGAAATTATGGATGTCCCATTCCTGGAATTGTTCATGGACTTGGTTGAAGTTTCAGTACTGTTGCTAGCGGAAGGTGTCCCAGCTCAGCCCAGGAGCTTTGGAAATAGATCCAAGGTCCCTTCCAACCAAACTATTCCATGATTCTGTGATCTGATGTGGAAATCTGTGCCCAAAGTGAACAGACCCATTAAGGGAGTGTCACCAGTTACTTTGGTTGGGCACAACAAAAGTCCATTTCTTGTCCTGCACCAGCCTGGACTATGACTGGCCATTCTTTAGTGGAGCTCTTGTGAGCTTTGAGCCAATGTACATCTTTTGGGACCATTTTGGGCTAAATGTGCAGTGTTAATGCATATGGCTAATTTCCCAGTGGCCTGTTTCCACACATTGTTCTGGAGAAGTTGGTGTTCCTCCTTCCTTCCATAATAACAAGCTTACAACTCTTCCCAGCCACTCCTCATTACTGTTGCATTCTGGCCCTTTTTCTGAAATTGTTATTTTTGCTAAATTTCTTGTGCCCATACAACCCTACTGCATTTAGAAAGACTAATTAATCAAAACCAATTTAACAGGGCTTTTCTCATTAGCTGAAGACTATTCCAGTGGCATTAGCTTGGCCTACAGGCAGGAATGCAGCATAAAGTGTTTCTGATCCTGCCTTGCCACAGACACTTGGGCACATCCTGGGCTGATCTGTCAAGCTGTGTGCACCAAACATTGGTTCAGTTGACTCCTTCCCTCCGACAGTCAGAGGTACACCTCAACACACTTGCAGAGCAGCCTTGGAGTCCCTGTGGCACTGTGTGACCTGAGGCACTGTGCACAGCTGCATGGCTGAGCCTTTCATCTGCCTTTCAGGAGTTACTGAAGGCCCAGGTGAGGGAGCCAGGGAGAGGTCACAGATTGGTGCTGCAGCTGGGCTGGGGACACTGAGAGTAGAGATGTTTTAAAGAGGCCCTTGTGGCAAACTCCACATCTCCTTGTCATGTGTCTGCCTGTTTCCTGATGCTGGAGAAGAGACTTCCATTGCTGATGAGCAGCCTCAATGCCACAGCTCATCCCACAGAAAAAAAAAGCAAGATTGTTTGTCCCTTGCTTTTTTCCTTAGGTGGAATGATGAGGAAAAGCACATTTAACCTTTTAAGATGCATGGATAAAATGGCAATTTGCATGTACAACCTGTCAGATTATGTCCTAGTTACAATCACTGCAGGCCAGGATGTAGCTGGAGGTGAAGCAGAGGTTGAGAGTTGCTGTATGCAGGGCTACATTTCTGATTTTCTTGGTAGTGAGACTAATCAAGGTCTGTGCTACTTTACTGTCACACTATTTATGCCTCCTTGTTGTTTTTTATTTTTAAACAATGATTATGTGAACACAGATTGCCTTGCTTGCGTGTTGGGTATCATGGCTCAAAGATCAGGAAGTGCATTGGTTTTATCAGATACAGCACAGACACCACGCACAGTATATTTACAGGAATATAAAGTTAATCATATGCAGCTATTAGGAAAGCAGTAAGCATCAGTCTCTGAATGCTGGATAGCTAGCATGAAAAACACACTTTATAAATTAATGCTTAACTTGCCTACAAGCCTCCCAGGCTTTCCCCCCTCAGTGTCCAGCAGTGCTACTTGGCTGAATTTCTTCTGACCTGAATTTCTAGCTTGACCTTTCCTCCTCACTTGTTTTGTGCAGTGCTGGTTCCACTCTTGAAGGAATCAAGTTTATCAATCAATCAGGTTTAGCCCTGACCAGTCACAGTTTTACACTGAGAAGGGATCAGTATCTATGTAGTGGACAAGCATATTTGTTCTAAATGTATATGGCAGATGTAGGTAAATAGTGTGAGCCAATTGCCTTAGTAATTAAATTTTGCTGATTTTTCATATGATAATACTTTCCACAAGTAATTTATCATTTTACATAGGCCTGGAATCACAATTTGAACAATGAACACAAT